GGGGGGGGCAGCATAGTGAAAGGGTGTTGGGGATGGGGAATCCGGGTAGTTGTGGTGGGGATTGTTCTGAGGGTCAGGCTTCATCTTTTGCGTGTTACCGGCCACTGCCTTGCAGCTACTAAGGAGCTTCTCACGCATTGTAACTATGATGAAGCAAGCACAAAACTTGGAATTTTTGATCGTGCAAGAATAGACACCTTGAAAGCAAAAATATATCCTGGTGACATGGGCAGGAGAGGGCCGGGGGGTTGTCGATTATGAACACAAAAGCGAATATGTACAGCGTGTAGTTAAAGGATTTCATAGTCTCTATACAAATATGAGAAGTTGCAAAGCTTGCCTTGTTATTATAGTATGCTTGAGTTTGTTTGCTAGACCAAGAGACGTAAGTTTCCGGGTAGCAGGTGCGGCCGATGGCACGCGTCTTGGCCAAAGCTCCTTCCTCGTAGCTTCCGAAACAAAATCTCATCCCGGCGCAAACGACTACGAGCCACGAGAAGTGTATGAGTTCAGCGTCTACCATCCTGCCATTGGACACTGTGCTAATAATATATGACTAGCATCTTTCACTGCCCTAAGAGAGTTCCAAGCAGTCCAGCAAAGCTATCATTCGGCGCCCTCGGCGCATTCGGATTCCCGGATATTGTATGCCCATCAGTAACGTCCGTCACCGTATAGCGAGACAGGGGACAATACAAGCAGGCACTACAAAGTACTCCTTGTCTAGCTCTAAGCCCGAACTTACCCTAACGACCGAAGACATCGCGATATAACGCGACGTCCGTCACTACGAACCGAGATCCACGGTACAGCAAAACAGGGGACGATACAAGCAGTCCCTATAAAGTACTCCTTGCCTAGCTCCCAGCCTAAGTCCTGGGTATAGATGAAAAGGTCTTAGAGCACGTACAGACTCTACACACCTTAACTGGGTCTCTTCTTCTACTCCGTACAAGTATCACCATCTCACTTCACGGTGACGGCGTTACTCCAAAATGAGCGATTCATCATCATCCAGGCCGACCGCAACGGCTGCGGACGTTGATCGGATGATTCAAGAACGGCAACACCAAAGGAGTCGGCGCGCTTGCTACCCATGTGCAAGAAGAAAGGTCAAGTGCGACCAACACCAGCCATGTAAAACTTGCCTTGAGCGAAGCTATCCGGATCTTTGCTCCTACGACCTAAAAATCAATCATGGAGCCCGTTTAAGGCATCCACGGGCGTCGCACGGCCCAGCTCCTGGCCACAATGAACGGCCATCTCGGAGACCTAGCAGTCCTGCCTCTCCTGCAGTGGCTGACGAACCAAGGCCTATTTTGCCAGAACACCTTGGCATCAGTAGGACTCCCGAAGAGGCCGTCGAGAGAGAGACGACTTTTATGGGTGACAATGCTGTACCCTCCGTTATCGGCTCTCGCTCTGGACAGAGCACCACAAACACTGATATACCTATGGTCCTGGGCCTGCAAAACTCGCTTCTATACTACCCTTTTATGGAACCACTTTCGGCTGACGAAATAAAGCAAGAGCTTTATAAGTGCCTGCCGTCCTACCATGAAGTCCAAAAATATTTTTATCTTTACCGTACTATGGTCTATCCGTTCATGCCAATTGTTACAGCGATCGATGAATTCGAGGCTTATATCTGCACCTATCTTGAACTTGCTTTCCATTGGGAACCAAGTACGCCGGAGAAACTTATTATGAAGCATCAGGGTCCATATCAAGCTGCAGGACAGATCAGCCTGCTCCTCGCCACCTTAGCTTCTGGGGTTTTATACTCCGACCTCGCTGTTGGCCCTAGGCGGGACTTGGCTCAACGTTTTAGTGGGCTCTCCGAGGCATTCTACTTTACAAGGTATTAAGAATGCTAACAGTGATTCAGCTCGCGATTCTTTCCAATGCTTGAGACTGGCAAATTTCATTCTGGCACCTTCTGAATGCATGCTGGAGAGCTTGCTGATCTTGGGGAATGTACTCCAGGACGTCGGACAAAACGATGGAGCCTACGCTATGCTGGGAACAACCGTGCGCTTGGCGGAGAGCTTAGGATGCCATTCATCTCAACGCCTGTCTCGTCTGCCTTTTGACAAGAAACAAAAACGCCAAAGGCTTTGGTATGTCACAATCTTAAAACAGTGAGTCCATGCTGATAAGTGGTAGGTTTAGTACAGTTTTCTCAGACTGTCTATTGTCCTCATGCTATGACCGGCCTCCAGCAACAACTCTCTATCGGCATAGCTTCTCTTCTCATATCCCTGAGACTGGCGTCCTTGGCTACCTGGAAGCAATGTATAGGCTCTGTGACATGGGCCTCGCTTCATTCATGATTGACAAAGATCCGGAAAATATCCCTGCAAGGATTTCCCTCCTAAAGGAGCTCGATCAAGTTTGTTCTCAATGCAAACCCCATCTCCGGACGAAGGAAGCTTGTTTTGCTGAGCAACAGACTATAGAATATATGGCTTTTACGCTTACTGCATCGCTCTTTGCCTCCACCGTATGTCGACCCGCTTTCAAACGTCGCGCCAGCCTCAGTGAAGAGCGAAGCTATTCTCAGTTACTTCGAGAGGGAACGTCATACCTAAAGAAAACCCTCGACACTTTCCTTAGTTTCCAATCAATAAGCGTCATTCCCACACGCACATGGTCTATGACGCATGCCGCATTGACGGCCGCCCTCCTCTTACGGGCACTGGGAGAACCCGAGCGGGACCCGACAGTCCTTGACGCGCAGCACAGCTTGATTGCCGCCCTGACGAAAGGATACAGGAGCTCTGGTTCTGAAAGTAATTTTATCGAGTCCTGTGCTTGGCTTTCGGGTGCCCATATCCGGGCCCTGAAGGCTCTGGTTGGATTTGTTGGTCAGGACACCTTAAGCAGGGAAACCGTCACCGATCAGAGAGCCGCTGAAGGAAGGCCTGATACAGATTACTTTTCGGATCCTACGTTTGTTGAGTTGGCCCGTAGTCTTGATGTGCCGATCCAACAAATCCGCCCAGCCATGTAAGGAGGTTGTTGTCTCAAAGGTTGGGTTTGCTAACGTACCGCAGGGAAGCGCCCACGTTGACATCAGGTGGCAATCAACAGAACACACTTGCACCAAACTTCATCACGGACATAGATTGGAGTTCCCCTATGGGTTTCGTGGATGACGTTTTTTGGGGTAGGCCCTATGCCTGTCTTGACTTATGGGTTGTACTTACTAAATTCTAGGCGATATATTCTCAAACCCATACCCGTTCTCCACTGAGGTCCCGTGGCCGGGTAACTAACCTTTGATAAACATAGGCTGGGTTTCTTCTAGGTCTTTGTACGAGTACTTCACAGCTAGTTGAACATTTGTTGAGTTGATACTTACGGTATTTTTGTCTCTTCCCGTCTTTACCGGAAATATACTGACGCGGCTCAGAAAGCCTAGAGCTAAGTTATCTCTGCCATATCGACAAATACAGGATCTTTTCGACGTTTGTTATAAGTCACTTCGTGAAAATTGACCGAGTTATCTACACCAGTTCTTTGTCTAAGCTCTTCTCTTAACATTGTCTAACTCTTTCCCACCTCTAAGCTCTATGCCGGTTCGTATTCATCGTGGCCAGCGCCCATTTCGACATAACAAAGTGGGTTTCGATATTCAGGCCGCGTAATATCTGGAGAATCCGTACTACATATGTCGATTGGCAAACAGCGTGCCCCCTAGCCCGTGGATCCGGTGTTAACTCCGACTATCAATCATTTGGGGCGCGTGATTGTCGTGACAGCATTGCACGTCTCTGACGCATAAATGAGATTGGCCGTTGAGCGAGATGGCCAATCAGAGCCTATTGTTGGCAAACCTCAAGGTTACGCTACATGCATAACTACAAACGAATATAGAACTTTAGCATCTACCGCTGAATTTCGCACCAAGCATAAAAGCTATATAAATCTAAGGGAGGATAAAACACTCAAGGTCGGGAAGGTACTAGTAGCTATGATTCAGATAATCTCTACTAAACTCGTTTGCTGAACAGGTACAGCCATTTTTCGCTCGGAGAAGTTGAACTGGATTCATTTCTGTCGTATCACACCTTACAAGGTGTGGGACTGCGGCAATATATCTAATATTCAATACTATTCCTTCCGAAGCCCCACACAGCCGAACTGGCCGACCAGTCCGATCTATGACGTGAGCTTCCCTGGCGATCACACAAAATGACGACGCCGAAACAATACGGTGCCGATTGATGGCCATGCTCAAAATTAGGTAACCCCGCAGTGGGCTGTGGACCGGCCCGATGACGCCCCTTTCGAGTCTAGCAAACGAGTTTCCGAATGCCCCGAACAGACCGAGAACGTCCGAAGCCGAACAATGAACGTGCACTGTTACAGTTGCATGTGTGTGTCCCCTTGTAGTATACTGATAAGTGTCTTGTCCCCAGTATAAGCTGGCCCTTCCGTGCCTCCAATATCGACATGTCGACCCAAACAATACAGCAAGTGCAACGCCGCCCTCTGACTACTACTACTATCATGGGCACCGGATTTATCCCCCATGAAAATGTTTTGAGCTACCATAGCTCCTCTTCTAGCCAGGATTTACCACATATGAACTTCCGTTCTTTCGTCGAGACACTCAAGGAGGATAACGATCTAGTGGAGATCAACGATGAAAAAGATCCCAACCTGGAAGTCTCCGCAATAATTCGCAAAGTCTGCGAAACAAACGACTACGCACCGCTCTTCAACAACGTCAAAGGAGCTCATAATGGTTTCTTTAGGATACTAGGCGCTCCAGCATCTTTAAGGAGTGGGATCCGTGACCGCTACGGCAGGCTGGCGAGGCATCTCGCCCTCCCCGCCGATTCCTCCATGAAACAGATTATCGACAAGATGCTCTCGGCCAAAACAATGAAGCCGCTCACGCCTACTATTGTAAAGAGCGGTGCATGCAAGGAGAATAAGAAGTTTGGGGACGAAGTCGACCTTCTCAAGCTTCCGGTTCCGCTTATCCACAAGGCCGACGGCGGGAAATACATCCAAACATACGGAATGCACATCCTACAAAGCCCCGACGGCAAGTGGACGAAGTGGAGCATTGCCCGCACTATGGTTAAGGACGATAAACATTTGGTCGGCCTGGTGATCCCTCCACAACATATCTGGGAAATACAACAAATGTGGAAGAAGGAAGGCAAGGATATCCCGTGGGCACTTGTGCTTGGTGTCCCGCCGGCTGCCATCATGGCTTGCTGTATGCCGCTTCCAGACGGTGTCTCCGAAGCAGAGTACGTTGGCGCTATGACAGGGACCGCCGTGGAAGTTACAAAATGTGAGACGAATGATCTTTATGTCCCTACGACCTCTGAGATCGTGTTCGAAGGCAAGCTGTCGATCACTGAGACGGGGCAGGAGGGTCCGTTCGCTGAGCTGTACGGCTATATCTTCCCTGGAGTTCGTCACAAGTGCCCGGTATATCGTGTCGACTGTATCACGCACCGCGATAACGCTATTCTCCCTGTATCCGCCTGTGGTCGTTTGACGGATGAGACGGTTAGTATCTCTAAACCTTGTATCCAGCCTTGACTGTCTATTGGAACAGATAAAGCAGGGGACACTGGACTAACGCGTTCCAGCACACCCTTATCGGCCCTCTCGTCGCCGCCGAAATCCGCCAGCTCTGCCAGGAAACCGGCCTCCCAGTCAAGGAGGCCTTCACACCCTTCGAGTCGCACGTGACGTGGTGCGCGCTGCAGATTGACACAAAAGCGCTGCGGGCCATGAAAACGACGAGCGCCGAGTTCAGCCGCAGGATCGGCGACCTGATCTTCAACCACAAAGTGGGCTACACAATCCATCGCCTCGTCCTGGTTGGCGAAGATATCGACGTCTACAAGTTTGAAGATGTCATCTGGGCGTACACGACGCGCTGCCGCCCACATGACGACGAGGTCTACTACGGCGACTGCAAGGCTTTCCCCTTTATCCCGTATAATGCCCATGGCACGCATAACCCCGTCAAGGGCGGCAAGGTCGTCAGTGATGCGTTGTTGTCTGCGGAGTATACGACGGGCAGGACTTGGGAGGCTGCGAGCTATAAGGAGAGTTATTGGGAGGGCGTCAAGGCCAAGGTGGATGAGGAGTGGGTGGGGATGGGGTTTAGGGAGGAGTAGTGCATTTTGAGGATGTGGGAGTTCGTCAAGATGCATGTGGAGGAAAAGTTAGGGAATGGGGTTTAAAACTTATGGAAGTTTTTCGGCTCACATGTTTCTGGTTTTGTTAGTAGAGCTGGGTTGTAATCCTCTTTCCTTTGCGGGTGGTGTTGCGAATGATGCTTTGGAAGAGTAATAAGCTTTTTCTGCGTGAGGTGTATATTAAATTATCTGACAACTTAATCGTAGAATATGCTTTTACGAGTAGTGTTTGACCTGGGAGCGGGTTACACAAGACATCAAACGCCGTATGGTGTGCGCACTTTAGAGCGATGATAAAGCTGATAAACAGTAGAACATAGCTGAAGGTTGTTGATTTCTTTCTCATACTATACAATAGTCTACTTACGGATAGATTGAAGATGCTCGCTATTATCACGATACAGTGATTCCTAGTACCAACGCCGAGTGATGATGTTGATTACTATTATCGTATGCATATGATAGGTTGCGGTTTACATAGGTATTTTTAATTAGAATCGCGAACATGTTAATAATTAGACGCTCGTCTTCGTAATACTGATTGACTTCCCTAATAAAGTAGCTAGGATAAAGGCTAGGTCTTTATCCTTCTTCTTTCTCGCCTTCATTATTACTACGGTTCTAGATACTAATCTCTACGTCGGTCGTTATTATATAAATGTTAGCGTATCGCTAGTAAGGAAAAGGAAAAAGACGGCGATAAATACTACCTTCTTATCCTTCTACCTTCGTATCCTATATAAATTTCTACATGTGCCCTCGCTATTATGTTTATCTTTAATTTTTATACTTCTCTAAATGTACTCGTAACCCCCCCCCCGGTCATTTTATTTTCGTAGGTAGGCAGCCGAAGTGAAATTCAATCGCCTTTACAATCTATTCATGCCCGAATAGGTAGTACTAAGTCTAGGGTCGAACGTCTAGGTTCTCGCAAGCAGGATATATAGCTAGAGTGAAGTTCCTTTGTTCAGTACCTACTACCGCCATAAAATTCCCCACGTGCCCGAAAAGGCACACTAAGTCCAAGGTCGAACGTCTAGGTTCTCTCAACCAAGGTAGGCAGCTAGAGTGAAGTTATTACAATCCCCTACATACCCAAACAGGCAGACTAAGTCTAAGGTCGAACGTCTATATCCCGCGCAGCAGGACGGGCAACCGAAGTGAAGTTTCCATCCCATATGCCTAAAACGGTAACGCGCGAAGTTCAAGTTTTCAAGTTCGAACATCCGATTCCCCTTAAGAGAGCGGCCAGAAGCTGAAATAAAATTCTCTCATTCACAACGTCCTCGCAGTCTCGTACCCCGCACAGAAAGACGCACATGTGCATAGCTATAAATAGCAGCACATGCATCACGCATGCAAGCCTCATACCTTATAAAAATTCCGCTACAGCCGAAAACATCAGCGCATTTTCCCATGACACACGTCTATGTACATGCACCGCACCATGGGCTAAGGCTTTACCGGAGTGTCCGAAATGGTATGAAAACTACTCGCTATCGGATAAATATAAATTACCTACACCAAAGAAATAAGTTTACACCAGCTAAATATAGCTCAGAAGAGCTGGATATAGCACGAAGCACCATCACAGAGCAAGATACGAGTCTTAGCTATCGTTACTATACAAAACCCAGTACAACCCATCCCACCGTAAGCAAAGACCTCTCTATCTTCACACAGCACACCGCTCCGCCGCTCCGCACGGCTCCCCTCCGCCAATATTGCCAACCTTCCGCATCTTGTAAACCGCGACCACACAACCACCACGACCCCAATTCTCCTATACCAACCCTATAGCGTCCGTATCCGTCCAACTCTATCCACTTTTCCAGTATCCCGTCCATCGCACCAGTCGCGCCTCTCATCACTACACAAGAAACCTGTACTACAGACGAGCCGTAACCCACCAAGCAAGCCCGCATCAAGCTTATTCAAGCCCGTACCAAGCCCAAGCCCAACTAACCCCCCATCGACCCGCCGCCCTCACGCACATCATGCACACAGCACGACACAAACCGCTCAAGGGAGGAAAAAAAA